GCGGTTGGAGCTGCTGTGACATGTCTGCGGGGGCAGTCAGGACATGTGCCCGCCACGGTGCCGGGTCTCTGTGGGACAGGGGACTGGAGCAGCAGCCAGCAAAGCACAATAAACCCCTGGCTTTCCCTGGGCACTTCATTACAGTAAGTGTTACAGATACTTTCAACAAAAGCACAATGCTTATGTTATATTCAACATGATTTTTTGCATTTCACATTCTGGTAATTACGGTAGGACCAGAATGGAAAGGAAGAAAGGAGCCTTGTGGTGTGAAACCTGAAACACAGGGACACGGCAGGGTGTTTGCTGCGAGGGAGTACAGTTCCCTTAGAGTCCTACTGCTCTTTACATCACTCTGTGCTTTTAATGCCTTTCTGCTTCTGATGCCTTAGCATTAGTCTGGCTGTCATGCAGCCGGTGAGCACCGTGCCGGGCACACTGCGGTGCAGTGGGTTTACGAGAGCTCTGCTGGTATGAGCTGCTTTAGCTCCCCAGCCCTAATCATAATCGTAACCTCATTGCAGCTCATTGCGTGAATGCTGGGGCAGAATTGGGAAGAAGTTGAGGAAGTGGGTGAGCATCGAGGAGCTTGCCTGGCTTTGCTCCGTGGTGCTGCCCAGGCTGGGGGAGCCTGTGTGCCTCCTGCCCGGCGTGGGCACACGAACGCTGCCGTCAGCCACGCGCTCTCCTTGCCCATCCCGAGTGTTTGGCACAGAGGACTCCTGATGGAGAAGAAAGTTGTAGGGGACCATAAACCCACCTCGGCAGCTTGCAAGAGCTCGTCTGTTTGTTATGCTGCTCATGATCCCTGGGCACACTGCGGCTCCCCTGGCGTGTTTGTGCCATCCAACTGGTGCCTCTCATTCCACATTTAAGTACTGATCCTGGAAACACTCAGGTACCCGCTCCGCTTTCTGCAGAGGTGTGTGCTCGCTCGGAGCTGACTTGCATGCATAACACCCAGCTCCTGCATTATTTGGATGTGCTGGATGTGCTTTACAGGACACGGGCTTACACACTGCGAGGTGAGAGCGTCTGCCCAGACGGACCAGGGACCCCAGCACTGTCACCTCCACGAGTGCCAGGGAGAAAAGGGACCCACAGTGGCAATGGGATGGCCTTGAATGTCCCAGGGGTCCCTGTCAGCTTCATTTATAACCGAGCGGTTATTCTTGCTGCACCTTGCGCAAGGATAAGCAGTGGTCACTGCTCCGAATGGTTGCTCTGCAGCGAAAGCAGCCCAGAGTCACCCTTGGGGAATGCACTCTGGGATGGGGGATATCCCTGGCTGCCTGCGGGGCAGGTGGGACGGGCAAAAGCAGCCTGCTCAAAGTCAACTTTGCTCCGTCTTCTGGAAAATTAAAGCAGTTTCTGGCAAGAATTGAAGATGATAAAGAAACACAACAGGGCAAGGCAAAGGCTGGGAGAGTTAGCAGGAAGGATGGAGTTTCCAAAATCTGATTGTCCAAGGATGGAGATGTATTTTTGTCCAGGTCTGTGAAGCGATACCTCCCACCCTGCTGCAGAGGAGCTCGCCTCTCCTCTCGCTGGGCCATGCCAGGGCAGTCCCAGAGCTGCTCCTGCTCCTCCATCCTGGAAAGCCCTTGCATGAGCTGCAGTTACCTGGGCTGGTCCTGAGCTCGGCTCCCCGGCACAGCCGGGGCTGGGCCCGTGCCCACCCCAAGCCGCTGCTCCCTGCTTTCAGCCACAGACCCAGCGGCAGGCAGGACAGTCCCAGCTACCAAGGGCTGCCTGGCCACTCCCGTTATGTTTCCTGCCACTTAAAAAATTAATTCTTTAATTAGCAGTGGTTCAGCAAATTCATTAGCTGATTCTCTTAGCATATTAGGAGGCATTTCACACACATCATCTGCAACCACTGACTTGTGTCAGCTCTGAATAATCCCCCTCGGGGCTCCTCTGGGGGAGGCTGGGTGTCTTGGTGTCCCCGTGTGAGCTGCTGGTGGAGTGGCCCGGGAGCCCCTGTACCCTCTACTCATTTCTGAGTGTCTCTGCTTCCTTCTCCATCCCACCCCTGGGCTGAGCCTGGCCTCCATGGTCATCCTGCCATGGGGTGATGGGGAAGAATCAGTCCCCAAGGCAGTGCCAGCATCAACTCTCCTTCCCTAACAAGTTTTGCGAGGCTCTTGCATGCTCTAGGCTTCCTCTCCCAGCCCAAACCCGGGATGAGGAGCCAGCAGCTACTCTCACACTGCCACCGGTCTGGCCACAGCTCAGCTCTTTGATTTAGTGCTGTGCAGCAAAACGGTTTCTCCGTTATGGAAAAAGATGGGGTTGTCCATCAAGGAGGAAGTGGCAGAGCCCCAGGAGGTGAGGGGAGTGGGCTTGCTGGCCAGTGGAACACAGTGGGACACGGTGGGACACTGGCTCACAATGGGACAGTCAGAGTGTTCCTGCAGGACCTTGAGTCCTTAAAGCTGGTGTGTTAGCAGATTGTTTGTCATGTGAACTCTAATTCTTAACGGATGTTGCTGTTAAAACATATTTTATGCTTTCAGAAAGTTGACTAATTTCTTATTAGATCCTTTGCCAGGATGCATTTAAATGATTCTGTCCTTAACAAAGCATGAAATAAAACACTCTGTATAGCAACTCTGTAATGAGATACTTAACATGCCTTAGTGTGTAAAGGGCAAATGTGTATTTAGGGGAAGCGAACAACGCAGCCAGGCTGGAGCAGAGAGATGGAGGCACAGGAGGGCCCTGGCATCAGTGATTAATAAGGGCATATTCCACGTTACCAGAAAGAGAAATGATTAACCATCTTACCAGATTGCATCGCCACCCCCAAACTGGAGCGATGCTCCAGCATGTCCCTGAGATGCAGGCTGCCAGCCCTGCCTGCTGCCTCCCTGGTGCTGCCAAACCCCCATCCCACCCCACATGCCTCAGTGCTGCCCCACACCCCCCATAGCCCCAGCACAGCCCCTTGCCCACTCCCTTCCCTGCTTGGCCGACTTGGCCAGGTGCCTGTCTCGGGAAGAGAAACACCAGCTCTTCCCTCCTGGGGGGGTAGAAGCCCCTCTCGCATGCTGCCCACAGAGGTGAGTTCCCTGCCCACAGCCTCTCCGGGGTGAGCAAGGGTTTAGGAAAACCAAAGAGGTGGAGCAGACCAGAGTATTCTCATCCTTAAGGAAGGACTGCAGTAGGTTTCCCTATCTGACACTAGCACAAGGATGCACTTTGGTATCCATACCAACCTGAATGCAAAGAGCCGCTCTCCCACCTCCACGGACCATGGGAAAATCACGGTGAAAGATGAGATTTGAAATTGCCCAAGGACCTTTGGTGCATTTCCATGCAGGAGCCAGTCACGGAGCGCTGGGGGTTCGTGGCTCGCACTCATTGCTGGAAGCTCTGCAGCCCCTCTCCCCCCCCAGCAGCACAGCAATGCAGCCTGGCCGCCTAAGGCCACCGGACTGCTAAACAAACCGCCACCGAGTTACAATCAGTTCTGTGGATTTACTGAGTTGCAGTAGCAAAAATATGATCGTAATGGCAGGCTGGAAATGTTGTCAGCACAGGATGGTTGCTTGGGGTGCTCTCATAGCTGGGCCCCATGGGATGCTCAGCTGGGGGTCGGGGCAGGTGGAGCAGGACCCTTCCCAGCTGCCAAAATCCATCCCGTTCTACACAAATCAATCTGGAGACACTGAGCTGGGGGAAGAGAAATGATGGCGTTTGACCTTGATGTAATCTGCTAAACCAGCTCTCGAGCAAGTAAATGCTATCAAGATGTACAAGGGGTTTATCTTGTATCTTGCTCAGGAGCACTCCACAGGCAGTTCAGGACTGGATAGACTCTAAATCCATGAAAGCCTCTGCAG